ACAGGACGACTGCTACATCTGCATCAGACAATATAAAAAATTAATCATGAAAAAAACATATTTTTGAGAAATTTGCCCTTAAAGAGAAAGAATAGATTGTGCTGTCTGCTTCTAGACCGTGAGCCCCAAGCCCCTTGGATAGGCTGCTAGCCCCTCTAAAAACCAACCACTAAGGCCCCAGGGTGTCTTTTCTCCCATAGGTTCTACTTCTTCTGGGATTCCCTGTCTTGAGACACCACCATGACCTAATCATTGAAGCCCTCTGGACACCCTCTGTAGCATGCTTTTCCCTTACCCTCATATGTAGCCAGTCACCAAGTCCTTTCATTTCTAGCATCTTAGTATGCACCCCCACCAATACACTGACAGCTCTCCTGCCCCAGCCACTCTCTTAGCTCAAGCAACCATTCTATCTTTCCTGGACAAACTTGCAAAATTCACCTCACCAGCCTTTCACCGTCCAATCCTGCTGGCCTCCAGTGCACTCCCCATACCACCACCAAAAGTGCTCTCTCTAAAATGCTGATCAGGTGGCCCTAAGATGAAGTCCAAGCTGCTCCATCAGGCACGTAAGACGCCCTTGTCAGTCTGACCTGTTTAGTCTCATCTTTCCCGTTTCTGCACACACATGCCTGCTCCTCTTGCAGCCTTACAGACTTCTAAACACACTGTGCTCACCCTTCCTTTGATCTTTGCTCCCCATGCCTGGAGCCCTCTTACTTCAGGGCTCAGCCCCATCTCCCTCTCCTCCAGGAAGCCTTCTTTGACCCTGCCCACCCTCCATCAGGCCTGGGTAGGGACGGTGCCCCTGTGGATCCACAGCATGTGGCCTTTTTCTCTCACCGTGCTGTGCTGAAATGGTGTGTTGATGCCACCATCTCCACAGTACACACTGAGCTGCAAGCTCTACGAGGGCAAACACTACATGCTGTTCACCAGCTCATCTCCAGGCCTGTGCCAATGCCCACTTTGTTGAACTCAGGGAATGTGTTGCATGTGTACTAGATTCCTTGGGTTTGTCCCAGTGTCAGCAACAGGGATGCATAAAAAGTAATGAATAAATAGAATAGCTTATTGGGTGAAATTCAGTTCTGAGTTTAACACACTAACTTGCTACTTAAACCCATATTCAATGTATCACATCTTCCCCAGCTTCAAAAACCTGCAAGTGAAGTGACCTGCTATTTTTATGAATTAAATTTGAAAGGCATTTTGAATAAGAAAGCCCCTGGAAAAAAATTAAACAGGCTACTAATGTACCTTGCAACTAACACTTTAGTATATTCATACATAAAGTTTAAAGATGGCAAGCGGGTTTAGGTAACTTAGCAATAGGTCATCCTAAAAACATCCTGTGTGGAAAATATTTATAAAAATATAAACAATTATAGACAAAATTATAAAGTGCCTGGTACTTTAAAAGAACATACAGAGAATACAGCAATCATGCCAGAGTCAGGAAGCCTAATGGTAGCCAACCTATGATTTGCAGTATTTGTAAAAAAAAAAAAAAAATTAAAAAACTGTCTAAAATTGCACTATTTTCTTTCTCTCTTCTTTTTTTAATGCTAGATACACAGTATTGCAAGATAATTTGACAATACTTGGTCATTATATACTCAGAACCCTTAAGCCATCAACCTAATGTAGCCCTTTCACAAAACACAATTTTTTTTGGCCTCCCAGTTGGCAAATCATATAGCTGGGGATACTTAAGTCAATATTATTACATATGAAATTTGGGGTGCCTTAATTTTGATGTCTTTTATAACCTCTTTGATCAAATCTATGAGTTACACAAACTTAAAAGAACTCTAGGTCTCTTCCTTTTTTCCAAGTTCCCAAGTTAAATAGGCCTCAGTCATGTTATAGCTTCCTATTTTATTTTAGCCTCTAAAATTGGATGCATACTCAGAAAAGGCTATTAGCTCTCTTACTACCTTGAATACTTAAGAAAAGTAATGCACAGAAATACTTTCATTTTCTTAGGTTGCTCAAAATAGTTTCTTAGTAAGACCATCAGTTCTCTATATGCCCTTACAAATATATTCTTTACGCAACTTTCTATCCACATGTGATCTTGCAGTTTTAATTTTGGAGTGCTTCCAAGAGAACTTTAAGTTTTATAAAATTTTAAAAAATATTACAGCCTTACAGATTATGCATTTAAGATGCCAGAAAAATATAAAATATCTTATTCCTTATCAAACTTAAAAGGAGGAAAGTAATGTTTTGTTTTACATATATACACATACAACAAACCAAACTTATAAACGAAAAGATACTCTCAAGCCCTAGTTTCAGGAGGAAGAGAATCCATTTGTTTTTTCACTCAAACCTACATACTGAAGTTCAAATATGACTCTGTAAAAAAGCATGCCTTATTTCTGGCAAGTTCCTAAAACATAGGAAGCTGTCAAATATGCTCTTGGGCAATGACATACTCTTTGAAGCCCCAGGAAATTCTAGCCAGGTCAGATTCCACCCAACTTTCAACAAATCATACTCCAGCTCAGCTTCCCTCTCATATCTGATGTCTTCCTTCTCTGCATCATAGATAGACTCTCAAATTTCCAATCTGTCATTTGCTGTGAGACCCGCTCCAGCAGTTTCAGCTCTCCCAGTCTACCTCCCGAACTCTGACGGTCCTGCATTTCTACTAATGCATAATCATGCTGGTCTCTGTTTCCTTTTCCATTTCCCCTCTCCACACCCTCCAGTCTAAAAGCTATGAGAACCATGCTAAGAGAACAGGGGCTGTATTGCTCTTCCTTACTGCTAGGTTCCCACTGCCTAGAATAGCTAGAATATAGGATGCTTCCTGATGAAGCCACCTGAGGATGAGTGACTGCTGCTATTGAAAGATTCCATGTGCACATGCTTTTTTTTAATCCAAGTTGTTTTTAAGGGCAAGCACTATTTTATTTCTTAGGTCACTTAAATCAAAGTGGTCATGACCACGAGCTAACAATGAAACTAGATTTAGAAGCATTGAGAGATTAGGGTCCCCTGAGCTTAGTGCCTCACTCACAAAAGTTAAAGATTCATAATACTGACTTTTGTTAGGAGGATCATCGTAACTAGTTAACAACATCCAGTGTTCCTAAAAAAGAAATGAAGCTATGTTCTTTGGTGACAGTTCTAAAGTCTCTCTTTATATATGTAATGGTGGAATATCATGCCTTACTTTGTCTCAGTAAACATAATTTCCATCAGGGTTGGGAAGAGGGCTGTTTCTGTCATTGAGCATCACATAAAGTCATTGCATTTTTAGGGGCCATGTATTAGGAAAAGACAGGTTTGGGGTTTTCTTTATTTTTTCTACCAAGTCATATAGCTGAATTAAATGAGCACTAAATACAACACCACTGAACACAAATTGTAAAGATAATGAATTCTACAAATAAAAATTTCAGGCAAGAGGATAGTGACTTAAGCTAAAGAGTCTGTATTATAATTTATCTGAATGTCAACTCTATTGAACACTTGGGAAGTCCCCCCCCCCAAATTTCTCCTAGTAACCTGTTCATTTTGCAGCATCTTTTTGACAGTGTATATCTACCTTAATTCCTTTACATAGGAATCATTTACCACCCTCCCCACCAAAAAAAGCAATTTTTTCCCAACATTTACTTTCTAAATTAAAATATCTAGGTTGTAGATATTTTTTGATATCTAGCTACAGGTTACTTAAGCTAGTCTATTTCAAAATCAAAAAAAAAACTCAGTGAAAGCAGAAACACCATGAGAATGTAGATTTAATTTCCACTTCCACACCAAATCAATTCTAATCTTAAAAAGAAATAATCTATTATAGCTATTATATTACCCACAATTGCACTCCTGGGCATCTATTCCAGGAAAATGAAAAGTTATCACACAAAAATATGTACATGAAATGTTTATAGCAGTTTTATTCCTAATAGTCAAAAACCAGAAACAACCCTAGGTTCCAGCTGGTGAATGGTTAAACAACTGAGACAACCATACCATGGACTACCAACCAACAGTAAAAAAGAATACACTACTGACACTGCAAATTTAATCTCCAGATTGTGTTGAGTGAGAAAAGCCCATCCCAAAAGGCTACACACTTTGACTCCATTTATACAACATTCTTGAAAAGACAAAATTGGAGAAATGACGAATAGATCTGTGGTTGCTAGGGTTAAGGAGAGGGGACAGGAGAGAAGTGAATATGGTTACAAAAAAGGCAATATGAGGAATCCTTGTGGTGATGGAAATGGTTTGTAACTTGGCTGTATAAATGCCAGTGTCTAGGTTTTGATATTTTACTATATACTGCAAGATGTTACTAGTGGGAGAAACTGGGTAAAGGGGACAAGGGACCTCTCTGTATTTAGAACAACTGCATGTGAAATCTATAATTATCTTAGAACAAAGTTTAATTAAAAAGAAAAATGTCATCCACATTTGTGACTCTCCCTTATATTCTCTTGCTATCTCTGGTCAGATATACCCCTTCACAGTGTTTATACCACAGAGGCCAGAGCCCTATATGCCACAGAAGAATCTTTCCACTTCCCTATAGCCACCACAGCCCACAAGATATTTCCCAGTGGCAAGGCAACCCGTCATTACTCAGTCTACCCAAATGTAGGAACTCTGTGAAAGAACTGGGTGTCACCTTTTTTACATAAATCAAATGTTCAAACACATAACAAATGATCTGCCAGTTAAGGTAACTTCTTCTAGTATCTGAGTTAAGGTAATAGATTTTTCGAGGAGAAAACGTTCTATTTTGAGGAACTAATATAGAGAATTAAAATATATATGTGGATACCTTTCAAGTCTTTTTTCTCCCATAAATGTAATAGAGTCACATTAGAAAGTGATTTTGACCCACTCTAATGATATCTAGATAGATGTTACAATGATAGCTAGAAGAATTACTTTGATGGAGACAGGGATTTCTTTTTTTTTGAACCCTCACAGGTATAAACATTCACTCAGTACAATAAAGACATTTTAGAAAAAAGTCAACATGCAAAATTGATTTTATTTTTCTATACTTTAAAACAGAAAATGTTGGTGATACTCTAAAATACTAAGCATTTCAAGTAAAATTGGTGATCAATAAGAGTATGACAACAGAGGATTTAATTGGGAAAATACTGGTCTATAAATAGGAACATCCAAAACATATTTAAACCACTTGAGCACTTGATTTTTCCATGTCCTTTGCATCTAGATTGAACAGACCACAGGAAATTTCAAAGACCGATAGCTGAATCTAAAAGAAAAAAGAATCCATTCAGTTGTTGTGATCATTGTCACCATCAAATCTAGTGTCTTACACTTCACCGACAGAACTTAACTTTGCCACTGCTTTATTATGCTTGAAAGGAGATAAATCACTAATCAGTATGTACACTAATTAAAAATGTTACCTTTAGGAGTTATTTTAATATCTTAGTAAGAGAGTAAGAGGGGTGAGTATTTCCTCTAACTACTTACTTTAAAACATTTTCTATAACACATTAGTCAGGATGCACTGAACATTTGCAAACACTTAGTGCTAGAGTCTACATAAACTATCAGATTGCCCCCCAAAAGTGGTGGTACAATTTTGCAACTGGCTGAGGTCACATGGAAAATAGAATTATATGCTAATTTGTTCCTATATTAAGTTATCATAGAAGGTCAGGCCAAACACAGTGAAGTGAGTTCTGGAAAAAAATTAACTAAGTAGATTGGTATGTACCATATCAAAGCTAACTGTTTATCTTAATAGATACAAATACAAGAAAGATTTTTAAAATGGAGGCATTTTCTCCTTTTCAAAAATATTAATGTTTGAACCAACCCCAGGCAATGATTTACATGACCTAAAAACACTTTATATAAATAGTTTTTCTGTAATGGAAAACAAGGGCAGGATATTTTTTTCAAGGGTAGAAAAGAAATGGAGAAAGTATAGGGTCCAAAAGAATAATTTCCCCAGAAAAAGCTTTACTTTATCTACATATTTCTTAAATTTAATTCACATAAATAGTTCTACTCATGTACTGTAAAATGAACAAACAGGTTTAAACTAAATGAACAAGAGGTTCTGACTATACACTTACTATTTTATTCCAAAATAAGCTAAACAACAATGTAGGTGTTTTCCTTAATACAGATTTGTCTGAAGAAAATATGCTTTATTTAAGAAAAGTATTGAGGAAAAATATCTGTTTTAATTTTTTTCTGGAAGGTATATCTCTAGATACACTTTATCCATAGGTAAGTTCTATGGATACTGTATCAACTTAAAAAACTATAAACCAAATTAATGGTTGAAAGAATTTAGGCTGACAGTTCCATACATGATGATGCAGCATCATTCTTATTTCTATTTTCAAAGGTCCTTCTTTAGAAAAAGGGAAAGAGTTTGGGGGAGGGGGTGATGGATGAAATTTTACAGCATTTGAAAATCAGGGGACGAGTATTTTATAAGGCATCCAGTTTACTGCAGGACACAATTAGAGATCATCTGTGTCACACCCTTAGGCAAATTACTGGAAAAAAATAAAATGACACTTTTTTGTTCTAGAGTCTATACTATTTTTCTTTAAAAGATATGCTTATATTTTCATTTTATTGCAATCTTTCCAGTGCCATGCTACAAGGGAACTAGCTCTCACAAAGAACTATCTGAATTCTCTTTAAATCGTAACTCATTTTTAATTTCTAAAGGGACTTCACTTACTGCTTTTAATGAGATTTTATTACTATTAGTTATCATAAAATATGTTAGGTTTCCATGAAATATCAGTTTGACAACTTGTTCAAATACTTAACTTTTCTGCTATATATCACCATTATTGTTTACCCTATTTTCTCCCTTACTGATTCAGACATGGAGATACTTATTCAGGCATAAAATCTTCAGGCTCCTTGATGGACTATAAAATAAAGCTATATACTTCTGTACTATCATTCTTGTTTGAAGGAACTTATATATTGGGATCTTAATCCATAAAAAGTTAAGAATTACATTTAAAAAGGGGAGGGGGGTCTGACAACAATGAAAACATGCACTGATGCCTAAAATATCAAGACTTACGTAAATTAATCTTCATTCCCACTGAAAGCAATCTGATGTCCAGGGACTGGGAATTATTCTACCATAAAATATGGCACATTAAATACTATGATACTCCATTTGAAATGTCTTCAGGTAATTATTACGTCATTTACGAATGACTGTACATATAGTTATATTTAAACGTTAATTATTAGAGATTCTAATGCAAAATATGTTGAAACTGTGAAAATACTACGTTGGTTAAAGATAAGATCAAGCAAATCAGTAGCTACTCTATGCCTAAAATGAAGACTCAAAATAAGATTTGAAAAGGAATTGACAAAAGGAAACACAAAGTATTTGTACCTTGATTATCACAAACAACACCGTCAGTCGTGACGGTTTGCATATAAAACTCCTTATCTCTACTAGCTAGTTGAAAAGAATGAAAAGCTTCTTACAACCAGCTAGAAAGAAAGTCTACCCATGCTCCTTGAAAAAGCTCATTTTCACATTACTCAGGCTTCATTATGCTAAATCAATATTCGTTTAGTCGCTGGGGTTATTGACATATTTTAAAATAAAAGTATACCCTTCAGCTACTGCACTCATTACAGGTAATTTGTCTTGTCAGAGAGCAGGGAATATTATCCTAGTCTTTCAGGGGCTGACAGCCCATGGAAATACCTCCCCATGGTTACAACTGTAAATAATTTTAAGGTAAAATATTGAAAAATCAATGACTGTTTCCTGCAATCTGTCACAAACAAATCAATCATAATCTGTACTGCCAGAGAGTATGATTTGAAGGAGATGGGAGCAGATGTAATTCTTGGCTGGAATCTCTCATTTCAAAATCACTTCACATAATGGTGTCATCATTTAAACACTTAACAGTCAGTGCAACTGCCACTGTAACATCTAGTTGGACAAAACCACAAGGAGGAGGAGGAGAAAATGCCAACATTATTATGTTAACAAACATTTAATTTAAATGGTTGCTGCATTAGTAAATTTCAGCTGAAAACAGTTTTACCTGCCCCCTTTCACAGTTCTAAATTAATCAAGGCTGCTTTTCTATGTGCTCATGCTTAATAAATTAGCCCAACTCAAAATTTTCCTCTTTAAAGCATATTTGCCTTTTATTTTAAAAGTCTATTAGAGAGAATAAAATTTGGAATTAATAAATAAGACATTGGATTGTGCATACCTATAATTCTATCTATATAACAAAGACCAAAAAATAGTGTCATAGATGTCAAGATTATACTTTTAAAGTAGGTTTAAAGGTCTCAGTTGCTCAGATATTAAATTTTATATTTTCCTGCTATTAGTAAATATTTTAAGATGACTGGCAAGACCTACTCAATTTAAAAATATTCTTGCATTCCATACACAAGATATATCATAGACTGATACTATAAAAACTGGAATAATAACCCAACTACATGAAGTATAAAAATTGGTTAAGGTCATAATATTAAATTGTTTTGCAAATGTAAACTGCTTTCCAAGTAATCACTTTGATGTCAACATTTTTTCTAGCTACATTTTAATGGCTTCCTCAGCTGCTTGAAACCTCCACTTAGGCACGAATAAAAGAATCTAACATTGGTATATTCCCCCTTCCTATTGTGTTAACCAAAACCATCATTTGATTTAAAAATTAAAGAGTTTTTCTCCTAAGGGTTTTGTTTTTACATGTACACTAGTTCTTTTAAATGGAATAAATTGATTTTTACTACCACATTGCTTACCAATTTTCTAATTATATAATTAGACTCCATGAATCCTTTATTGGTCTGTTAATATCCTCCATAGATATATAGTTCAGAGAGTAGGTACTTCTGATGACTAAAAAGCTCTATCATTTTTCTTAAAAAGAAAAAAAAGACATAAATACCATTACACAATTTAAGCCAACCTAAGCACTTAGACATACTAATTCGTCTTTTATAAGAAAGGGTTTTACTGTTTTTAATTTAGTTTGAATATTCAGTGTGGCAACACAGCATGAGAAGAGAGCAGCTTTTCTTATTGATACAAATTGAAAGTTTTGTTCTTCAAGAAACTTAGATTCATTTTTTAACACCGACATTAGATTTTTGAAAATGAAAAAAGGCACACGGGCATATCATCAAAGATATCATTCAGAATAAAACATAGTCCTCCATTCCATGTGAATCCCCGCAACAGCTGCAAAATAAGCAGCAAGCTAACCTAATGAGAAGAAAAGGAAAGTATTACCCATAGCACAGGATTATGCAAAAAATGGAAAAGGAACTTAAAGGGGTAAACTAGGAAACGAACCCGCATGTGTGAGCTCCTAGCCTCCAGTACACTACAGCAGCCAGGGCTGGTTTCAGCTAATCCCTGGGGAGAGCTCTAGAACCAGTTGTCAACCACCAAGTCTCCCACTCAGAGTCTGATTGTGACTGGCAATATCGCCCTGCAGAGAGCGCATTGCCCAGAGAAGGCAACAAAGACTGGGAAGTAAATGAGGACAGCTAAGCACCATGCTAAATGCATGCACATCAGCCACACGCTAAAGTAGTATCTACTAGAACTGTGTAGGCCACCATCACAGATCTAATTCTCAGAAAGAAGCTATTTTAAGGGCACTGAGTATGCCTGGATGAGATTTCTCACCTCTCCCAACATAGCCCAGAGGCCTAGGAGAAGCAATTCAAAAACTTAGCACAGGAAAATCACATCGTTTTCATACCCCAAATTTAAAGAAATTGCTGTCTACTAGATAAAGTCCTTATATGTAATAAAGGCTCAGGACTACAGAGGAAAGCATTCTTTTGAAAGAGATAATATTACCTCCCTATCTTCAGAATCTCTTCCTTCCAACAGGCAGTACAGTAGCTTCATTATGAACTGTAGATTCTTAAAAACAAAAACAGCAATAGTTAGCTTCATCTTTCCCACCACCTCTTTCCTTCATGGAATTACAATTTAATTACCAATACTTCAATTGATTTTATCCCTGAATGATACATTTCTCAAAAAGTATACTTAATCTATTTCCACCAGAGAACATTTAGTACAGCCTTCTCAATTAATCAACCATAAACCCATTACTGTTAAAAGGACATGTTTTCTCCATATTTTCAAAAGAGTGAGGAACCTCCTCCCACACACACCTATTTTATATAAAAAGAGTATTCATTTTAATACATTTGAATACTACTAATAGACACGAAATACAAATCTTGATAACAATTTTTGGTAGAAAACAGATATAAAGGTCAACCAATTCATATATATGCTTAGAATTTTCCCATATTTATCCTTAGGAAGGAAAAAAAATTCTCTTCTAAATTCAACAACCTTATGTGAGTTAAAAAACCAAAAAAACCCAAAAATACGAAGCTTAAAGGTAAAGAAGAATCAGATTGATTGCTGCTTATCATTTTCTTTGTATTTGTGTTGCGTATTTTCTAACTTGCTGTAATACTTCAGCTCTTGATCACACATAAACTCCATTTCCATAAGCCCTAATCAGTGACAGGGGAACACAAGTGTGTTATTTAAAAACAATGATATATTATTTCATATTACCTTAAACATCACTTCAGTGCCTTTGAAAGTATTCAGAGAGAAACATTTGTTCTGTTGTAGGCTGTACTAACTATAGTTGCCTTCTGTAAAATGAGCTTTTTTTTTTTTTGGTGATGGAACCATCTTTTTAACTTGATGAAATGCTATCACTAAATCCAGTTCCTTGCTCTTCCCTACACAAGGCAAATATTCTGCAAAATAACTTTTTCTTATAGCTCTTCTCATCTGCTTGTATTGAGTAGCCCCTGTTTTGATGAGAAATGAGAAGTTTTACATACACCTGTATACCCCTGTGATTAAAAGAGTTTAGTACCCATGACTGGAGCTGACACTCCCACTAAATTTATTCTTAAAAGAAATGGGTCATGAAAATGATCAAAAACTGTAATTTGCTATAAACAGATTATTTCCTTTAAGTAATATTTCTAGTTCTCTAAAATATCATAACCTGAGTCTTGACTTTTATGAAAATCATGAGTTTATAAATTTTATTATCCAACGATATCATTAAAAATAAAAGAGTGTATTTCTGTGAATCAAAAATTTTTCTTGTTGAAAAACTGCATTACTTGTTTAATGCATTAGGAAAATTTTAATAATCAAAGGCCGTAGGTGACATTTTCTACCTTCTGTACTTGGTCCCTATTACCAATACAAATACTTAGGAAAACCAACACTGATGCTGTTTGGGGTCTGCTCCACACACAAGCACCCCATGTGCAGACATGCGCTCACAGAAGAGCCTGAGGATTACAAGGACAAATTTCAGCCGACATTTGGAGGAACCCCATAGTTCAGAAGTGAACTTAGCTGAAATCATCCAAATACATAATGGAAGCATCATACTTATAACCTGCACAGAAAATGATTCTGTTTAAGGAACCATACAACACTAAATACTTTGGGGATATTGGATATGAATATGAATCTAATTTTCTCCAAGGTATCACTTCATATTATGGCAAATAAACAAATAAAGACTGTATCAAAGTGTGGAATATCATTAGCCAGAGAAAAGGCTAGAAAAAATTGATTATACAAATGACAACTGCAGGAGAAAATTACATTCCTTTCTCCTGAACAAATGTTAAATGCTTCCTTACTAATAAAGATTTAAACTCAAACTACATTAGAATGTACTAGTTTTCAATTTTGAAGCACCTAAGTTAATTTCCAACCTAAACTGGTGCTTGGGTATACTCTAGCTATAAAAGTACTGCAGATTTATGCAGAAATAAGTCATAAGAATCTCACTTCTGAGTGGTGCTGTGAAAGCAAAACAGAGTCATTAGTGAACAAGAAAAAAATAATTCCAAGATTTTACATTTTCTTAAGAGTTGCATCAGATGCTATTTTATTAAAGACAATTATTCTCTATAAAACAGATTACAGTTACTCCAAGAAGATAAAAAATACAGGAGCCAAAACAATGTATAAATTGAAGGGAAATATACAAAGATATTGAGATATTACCACACAAAACAGGCTTTGCTATCTCAAAGTTAAACATTATTCCAAAATATGACACTGTTTTCATATCTGTTTTAAAGAACATGCTTATTAATTCACTCAGGATTACATTTCATTTACTTGCCTGTTACTGACTGAAGAACATTTACATTTTCCCTAAGATTTTTATAATGTAAAACTATATTAATAATTATTTAGTGTTATTCATTAAAACAAATGGCAGGTAATTAGTTCACATTACTATATCATTTCTTTTAACATATCATATCAAATTTGAAAATACTGTATGGATAAATAGCACAGGGATGCTGATCTCAGCTGCCAGAAAAAAAAATTTTTGATGGGGCTGTTGGGAGACAGTAAAACAATTATTTCAAATTCATGCTGTTGTTTTAGTTTCTGCAAACAAATCTAAATAAATCATTCTTTGATTTTAGATTAACAGGTAATTCTAGCCAGCTAATTATCCTTAGAGTCGGGAATGAGCTGTGACTGTACACCTGGCTTCTCCGATCCTATGCCTATAGCCTCCACATTCATTTCCTCTTTCTACAATGAGCTTTCATATTAGAGAAAAACATTCACACATCTTACATACATGCTGATGGACAACCAGCTTCCAGGAAATCATGAGTTACAAAGAAAGTGGGTAAATCTTAATGCAATACTTATGTTAAAGGGTATTAGGTGCTGGGTAAGCAAAGGGTAATATAATCACAGCATCCATCTTGTTATTTTTTTCTGCATCCAGATATTTGAAGAAAAGAGCAGTAATATTATTTTAGTGGTCAGCCAGGTTATGATTCAGATACTTAAACTAATAAAGAGGCTAAATGCACTATCTTCACTTATTCATCGATTCAAACTTACAGAAGAATATTTTAGAAGAAACAAAATAGTTTTCTTCTATTTCTGGAAATAAAATCAAGGTATTCTACAAACAGTGTAGTTAAGTACTTGATAAGAAGAGAGAAATTATTTTAGATCATTAAAACATTCTAGGAGATGGTTTTCCAAAAAATGAAATGGCATAAATTTCTCATATATTTACCTTTTTATTATATTCCTGTTTCTGCACATTAAGCGTGTCTTCCTCTCAGACTTATTCTGAACACTTAATAAATGTTTGCTTAATAATACACTGCTGTATTTATGCGTTTCTTTCCAAATTAGTAACCATTATTCCACAAAGGTAGAGCACAAAGAAAGCCGACAAAGGCATTGCCAAAAAGCCACAAGTAGTATTAGTACATGCCAGAACCCTTAACATTAAACTATCATTTCCCTAAAACTTCTGTTGCCAAAGGGATCACAAAATCTGGAGGCTCAAAGACAGGTTTCAAGTGCAATTAAATTCTCCAAAAGCAAAACTGTACAAAAAATATGCAGCTCTTCTTATGTCACCATTTTATAGACAACATTTTCTCAGGATCTTAATTAAGATAACGATGCACACCTGTGTCAACATTCTCTGGCAAGACAGCCTTATCAATCATAATCCTTTAAGTACACTCCAAAACAGCAAAGCGATATGACAGAAGCAATCTGTTGCCTTTCCTAGCGTTGGTGTGTCTCTTCCACAAGAATGATGAGATCTTTAAAATACAGCAGACCTACTTTTATGACTCTTTAAAGTTTTCACTGTAAACAGTTATTACACTTAATAAACAGGAATAACCTTTTTCGCATTAGATTTAAGCAATGACAAGTGTACAGCCAAAACTCGAAAAGCAAGCTCTGCGGCCGTATCTTATCAAGACAATTGTAGATCTCATTTTAACGCTTTAAATTTTAAGAGTTATGAATAACTAGATACGTGCAGACACGGCATACCAATAAACCCTTAGGAATTCTTAGAATTAGAATTGCTAAAAAAAAAATCTATGTTAAAACAATCTGGGCATACCTATCTCTAGTGTAGTTAAAGTGTTAAGAGAGATACAAATCCAACAGTAAGTCAAAATAAATAAGTAAATGAAAAGAATTGTCTTGGTAACCTGGAATAAGAGGAAAATAGCTCCTACCTCTTCTGGGGGAGAAGGCAACACCGAAAAGACACCAGTGAAACTACTACTAACAAGTAAACAGTTTCCCAAACAGGAAAGCAGATCAATAAAGGGGAAAAAAGAGGGCAGAGGGAAACGTATCGTCACCACTACCAAGATAAAAAGTTAAACCTCGTGTTTACCAGCAAAAAAATGCGAAAACTTTCACACTAAAACGGAGAAACCCCACCAGATGCTATCTGTATCCCGTCTGCCTCCTAATAACATTAACGCAAGTCTGTCTCGGACGCAGGGCGGCTGTGGCCAGCCGAGCAGCAGAGCCATCAATGTTCAAATAAAGCAGAAAATAGAGACATTCTTAAGAAATGAGTCTTAACTTTGACGTAGAGCGGAGGTGAGAACCACAGCAACAGAACCATACATTCTGAGTGCTTCAGTATCTTTCAGGATTCTCTCCAGTCCTTGACACCAAAAAAAGGAAAGTAAAAGAAAAGAGGGGCGGGAGAAGGGGGTGTATAGCCTAGCGACCCAGAGTGGCAGGATGATGTAATGAGGATGTCCGTGCGACAGACTGATTCTCGGTGGCACAAACCTCCACGGCTCCATTTCAGAAATCAGCATCCTGGACGAGAGCCGAGAGGGCGAAGCTGCCGCGCGCGGATGGAGAGGTCCCGCCCACGCGCACCCGCCGGGAACTGTGACACTAACACTTAGGCGGCGGGTCAGCGCGAGGGACACGGGGGAACCCGCACGCGGCTCGAGCGGAAGGAAGTCCGGCCGCGACGCGGCGGGTACAGGGACTCGGGGCTCACCTCTCCCCCGCGGCGCCGGCGCGCAGGCCGCGGACGCTCCCTCGTGGCTGGCGCAAGCCCCCGGCGGGCGGCGCGCGCGGGCTGCTACCGACCGTTAGCGCGGAGAGCTGCGGCAGCAGCGGGCGGAGCCGGGGGCGGGCGCTGAGGAGCCGAGGCCGCTAGAGGCGGGCGCGAAGCGAGCAGGGCGTGGACGCTCCGGGGCTTCCTCAGCGACCTCCCGTGCCTAGACAGAGCCCAGGAGTACACCGCCCCTTGGCTGTCTTAGAGGCTGCCACTGGCTGGCTCCCCGCTCCCTCTTGCTCCGGCGGTCTGGGCAGTTCAGCCTTGCCTCAGTGGCAACCGACTCGCGGCTGCCGCTCCGGCCGGCTTCTCGTCTCCATGACAATAGCGCGCCGTCGCTCCGCCCAGCTCCGCCCCTCGGCGCAGTGAAACGGGGGGAAGTGAGATTACGTCACCGAAGGGCGGAGCCAATGGAAGCCAGCATCCAATTAGAGGTGAAAGCAGGAAGGCATCGGGCTGGGCTGAGCGGCGGTCGGAGAAGGTCGGCTCGAAGGGCGGAGCCTCAGGAGCTGACGGAGAGGAGGAGTTAGCGCGCGTGCGTGAAGTCCGGCAGCGGAGAGTGTGCGAGTGTGCTGAATGGGTTTGTGTGCCGCGGCTGGAGTTCAGGAAATAAAATATATCTCTTCTGGAAAAGTCACTGAAGGAAACTATATGGACCAGTAGTGCTTCCGCTTGCGTGTGACTCCATTATAAAAAGCCAGAAAGTTTCTGATATACTGAGCTCCAGCAGAGTGCCCAACATTGTGCCAGCCTCTGTGCTGGTTCACCAGCGCCCCTGTCTGTCCCAGCGTTCTAGTGCGTCTGTGGCTTGTGGCGGCACGTGGTGAGGAGACAGGCAGAGGATCTGTTTTGTATTCCGTGTGGCCGTCGTGGCCTGGTCTTTGCCTGTGACTCAGTTGTGTGTGTTTGCCTTGCCAGCGCCTCGCTGAACAAACAGTGATTGGATTGGGCACAGCTCTAACGAATGTTTGCAATGGAGGGTGGGCGGGTGCGAGCGTGCCTGCGAAGGGCAAAAGAACCCGCACCGTCCACCACCATAACTGGCCTGGCGATGCGAGCTGGGGCTGCAAAGCCTCTAGAAGGAGGCAGCGAGGCACTGTGGGGGCGGGAGAGTGTGTGCTGAGGTCCTGAAACCGACTCCTATGTAGCTGCTTCTCCATCTGACAGCTCTTGTCCACTACCTCTCGTGTACAGAAGGGCTACCCACATAGTCCCGGGTCCCGCGTGTCTCCTTCGCCGTCTGGCCGGAATCGGCGGAAGGAAGGCCGGGCGGGAGAAGTACAGCTGTCCTAGGCCTGCCTCTATCCCACCTGCTGCTGCTGGCGGAAAGGGACAGTCATCTCGGACTCCCTGCGCCCCGAACGAGGGCGGGCATCCATCCAGCTTTCCCATGGACCTTCACTCCGGGTCTCCAACTAGTTATTGGGCCCGCTGACTTGGGGAGAAGCTAGGGACGGGTGGGCGGCGAACGACCTAGGAGCCCGGCCTCCTGGAAAACAAGAAATCCGCTAACTTCGCGATTTACTGTGGCGAGGGCAGAGCAGAGAGTTCGCCGGCGCTCAATACAAGGCCTCGTTCCCTTTGTGCTCCCGCGCTGCCGGATCCGCCACCTGGACCCGTCTTGCGGTCGGAACCTCGGTTGCACCTCGACTTAGCAGGGAAGGAAAGTTGGAAGAGATCGTAGCGTCGGGGATGTGATTGTCATCCTGGGGCCGGCGCTCGAGAGTCGGAAAGAGAGAGAGGAGCCGGGGGGGAGAGGAGAGGAGGGAGAAGAGAAGGAGGGGAGAGAGAGGAGGGCCGCGGAGGAGAGGCGGGCACGAGGGAGGGGCGAGGGGAGCGCCTGCGAGCGGGAGAGGGAGCCGGGGAGGAAGAGGGAGGGGGTGAGGCGCGCCTGGCGGCTGGGTTGGCTGCGGCCGCCCAGAGGCTCCTGCCAGTCCTCCCACCGACTACACCCCGGGAAGGAGGAGCTTCAGGCGCGCACAAGGCGTCAGAATCCTCAATTTCCAACTTAGCATCTTGGCAGGACCTTTGCGAAGCCAAAAGCAGAGCCCCCCAGTGCAAAGAGCGAGGGGGAAAAAGAAAAAGCAGCAAGGGAGGGGGGGAAACCCAGCCGGGGAGAGCGAGACGCGCAGAGGAGTGGGCTTGGCAGTCTCAGCCGGAGGCGCGGGAAGCCAGCGAGGAGGCGCAGCGGGCCCGAGTCCGGCAGCCGGGACCCGAGGAGCGGCGGCCCAGGGCAGCCGGAGGCCAGGTGCCCGCCCGATCGCCCTCGCAGGGCGCCGCCCGGCTCGTTGGCGGCCGCGGCGCGGCGCGCCCCATGCCCGTGTGTGGCCATGTCCTACCCGCAGGGCTACTTGTACCAGCCGTCCGCCTCGCTGGCGCTCTACTCGTGCCCGGCGTACAGCACCAGCGTCATCTCGGGGCCCCGTACGGATGAGCTCGGCCGCTCGTCGTCGGGCTCAGCGTTCTCGCCCTACGCCGGCTCCACCGCCTTCACGGCGCCCTCGCCGGGCTACAACTCGCACCTCCAGTACGGCGCAGACCCCGCGGCGGCGGCAGCCGCCGCCTTCTCTTCATATGTGGTGAGTGAACCGGAACCGCGGAGGGAGAAGGCATCAGCGACCGCGCGGGGCTGGAGGGGACTGCGGGGCCCACGGGCCTCGGCGCCTCCGCGGACTGCCCCCGCCAAGCTTGGCGGCCTCTGCAAACTTGGGCGATTGTCTTACTCGGCTTCGCCTGGCTTCGGGCTCAGGAGTTGCTGGTAGAGGAGAGCCTCGTCTTGCTCAGATCACTGAGCTGGCGGAAAAGGCGTTTTTCAGGGAGAGGTCGCAGCATTTGGTTCAAACGTGAGCTACAGGCCGCCCTGAAAATTTTATTTCATTTTATTTTCTTGGTTTTGCCATATTGGAAAAGTAGCTCAAAAGAAATAGACCAAAAATCTGAGTAGAAGAGTGCTAAGTATGTAAATGTGTTTGGCCTCACCTTTAATTAGTCCTCCAAAATGTTACAAATCCGTAATCCTATCTTCGCAATCCGATTTGGAGGTATTACATTTCTGAAAAGTCGGCGGAGCTGCGGTGTATCCGGGATTTTTCGGCCGGGTGCACTTTCAGGAAAAGCGCTGTAGCTTTGGTTTGGGGTGACATTTTTGGAGGGGTGAACGTGCCGGGGCAAAGCTTAGCTTTGGGTTTGCCTTTCTTTGGGGGTTGTGGAGAATGCCTTGATTTCCCTTGTTCTCCCCCCTTGTGCCTAACATGCAGCCACCAGGGCGCCAAGCGCAGAGTCGCCGCCGTTGCCTAGGCCTCTCTCCGGGTGGAGGGCCTGTCCCCGGTGGCAGAATCTGTTCATGGGGTGCGGACATACCGGGTAGATGGGGGCCTATAGGGTGCTGCCGAGAGGCCAAAACAGTTTCAGGCGCCCCAGAAGAAACCGACTCAGGAGTTAGCGCCCCTGCTGCCTTTTGAGGAGAAGGGGTTGCCCTTAGGTTTGAGCCTACCAGCCTTACCCCCAGGGGAAGCAAGAGTTCTGACCTCGCAGCCCACAACCGCCGGGCCAGGGAACCTGTGCCTCGGTCGCCCAGGTGGCACCGAGGACCATTGCCCACTCTCACCTTCTCTCTGCCTACTCCCTGCAGGGCTCTCCCTACGACCATACACCGGGCATGGCAGGCTCCTTGGGGTACCACCCTTACGCGGCGCCCCTGGGCTCATACCCATATGGGGACCCCGCGTACCGGAAGAACGCCACGCGGGACGCCACCGCTACGCTGAAGGCCTGGCTCAACGAGCACCGCAAGAACCCCTACCCCACCAAGGGCGAGAAGATCATGCTGGCCATCATCACCAAGATGACCCTCACCCAGGTGTCCACCTGGTTCGCCAACGCGCGCCGGCGCCTCAAGAAGGAGAACAAGATGACGTGGACGCCGCGGAACCGCAGCGAGGACGAGGAGGAAGAGGAGAACATTGATCTGGAGAAGAACGACGAGGATGAGCCCCAGAAGCCGGAGGACAAGGGCGACGCCGAGGGCCCCGAAGGAGGTTGGTGGACGCGGGAAAGGGTGTGCTGAGCAGGAGTAAGAATGAAAAGGGGGACCAGGAGAGGGGCGCACAGGGCCTGGAGGTTGGGGCTAGGGGTTCTTTGCAGGCAGGGACCTGTGCCGACCCGCGCGGCCTTCGCGCCTCTGACCGCTTGGGTTTCACCCGCAGGAGTGGAGCAGAAGGCGGCCTCGGGCTGCGAACGGCTGCAGGGGCCGCCCACCCCAATCGGCAAGGAGACCGAGGGCAGCCTCAGCGACTCGGATTTTAAGGAGCCGCCATCCGAGGGCCGCCTCGACGCGATGCCCGGGCCCCCCCGCGCCGGCGGTCCCTCCCCAGGCGGGCCAGCGGCGGCGCGACTGGCGGAGGACCCGGCCCCTCATTACCCCTCGGGTGCGCCGGCCCCGGGCCCGCACCCAGCCGCGGGAGAGCTGCCGCCAGGTCCCGGCGGGCCCTCGGTCATACACTCTCCGCCACCACCGCCGCCGCAGGCGGTGCTCGCCAAGCCCAAGCTATGGTCTCTGGCAGAGATAGCCACATCCTCGGACAAGGTCAAGGACGGGGGCGGCGGGAGTGAGGGCTCTCCGTGCCCACCGTGCCCCGGGCCCGTAGCCGGGCAAGCCCTAGGAGGCAGCCGCGCGTCGCCGGCTCCGGCGCCATCGCGCTCGCCCTCGGCGCAGTGTCCCTTTCCAGGCGGGACGGTGCTGTCCCGACCCCTGTACTACACGGCGCCCTTCTATCCCGGCTACACGAACTATGGCTCCTTCGGACACCTTCACGGCCATCCAGGGCCTGGGCCAGGCCCCACAACCGGTCCGGGCTCGCATTTCAATGGATTAAACCAGACCGTGTTGAACCGAGCGGACGCTTTGGCTAAAGACCCGAAAATGTTGCGGAGCCAGTCCCAGCTAGACCTGTGCAAAGACTCTCCCTATGAATTGAAGAAAGGTATGTCCGACATTTAACGCGGGCTGCGTCGGTCCCGGACTTTCCTAATTTATTAAAAAACATGGCCTTGGCAGTTATTTTTCCATCAACAAGAGAGAAAAGCAAAATTACCCCTCCTATTAAAAAGTTTATAGTTCATGGAGATGGGTGACATAAAAATGTAAACATCTCCACACACACAAAAATGTCTTAACCAACTGAAAAGAAAAATTTAAAAAAGGATTTGTATTAAATCTTATTCTGTATATTTAATGTAGCATTTTTGTATTTAAATTGATAATTCAATATCTTTGAAGTAAATTATGAAATTAAGACACCTGTACAGGCATTTAATGTTTTTTTGTAATATAAATATATACATTTGTGTTTCCCCCAAAAGTGTTTCATAGTTCGAAAATACAAGGTTAATTTAATTTTTTACACCTATTGATTTTTCTGGGTATGAGCTGAAGTATTATTACAGAAAGGAAACAGGTTATACTCTTAGATTTAAAAAGTAAAAGAAACTGCAGCCGTCTTTGTAAAATGCGAAATATTTAATTAAAAGAGATTTTAACATAATCAGAGCCACTCATTACTTTTTAGAAACCTCAATAAACTGTCCATCGCCTTGGACAAAAGGTGCAAACTGCAACTTTTTTTCGAAGTGGGGAATGAAAGGTTCCACAGAACCTCAGCGTACTGGGGGAAACCATAATTAGGCTGCAAGCCCCGGGGGAACCCGGCCCTGCCGGGAAGAAGATTTGGATCGCTGATGTGGTCTGC